CAAGACCTCACCGCTCATCTCCCGAGGCACGATGGATCTGTGATTGACAGGAGGATCAAGTTCCGTCATGGACAATCCGACCTTCGCTTCTGAGGAACACCTTGCCTTCACGCGGGGCAGGAACATGGTGGACGATGACGTAAAGCACGGCGTCAATAACGGCTACATGATTCGCGGGAAAAACTATGACGTCGCAGAGAACAATCGTCTGAATGGTGGAGGACATCGTGACGTCATCGGGAGCAGTAAAATCATTGGCGAAGAAAAGCGTGACGTCAAAAACAACAATCATTCCTTGACCAATGGGAAGCACCTCGATGTCGTCGAGGAAGAAGAGACTTCGGAGAGCATGTGTGGCGGTTTCGGTCGTTATCCAAATTGGCTTCAGTGGTAATTATACAATCTATTATCTAAATATATTAAGATATGTGAGGATGAATCATATCATACAAAATCATGATATACTTCTTTTCTATTGGAGATGACTTATTGATGGTAATATATTTTCCTTAATGTGATTTCGTTTTATCAATGTCAGAGTTTTAAAAAATGACTAGAAATAGTCTGAAAATACAATAAATCGATAAGTTCAATAAGCGTCAGTCAGACAAAATGAAGATAATTTTGGGTGACCTCGCATAGAATGTTAGAGATCTTTTAATCTATACCTAGAAAATAATTGTGCGTTTTAATTGGGAAGTTACATTTCATCATATTTCATAAATTAAAATGTTTACAGTCATTTTATGCAAATTTGATTCGGACATGATATAAAAAGAAATCAGTCGTTTATGACAATATCCACTTCAGACTGCCAAGCACCAAATAGAAAAAGAGAAAAAGGTGAGACATGATAAGATAACATCAGTCTGCATTAATTGATTCAGCTTTTATCATTACTATTATTGATATTATCATTATTATAAATATTTACCTGTGGCCATTCTCAATATCATTACGGTAAATCTGGAGGATATAGAATTTGAGTAAACAGACATGAAATGCTACTAAAATGGAAGAACAACATGCAAACTAATCAGGGAAGTCAAATTTAAAGCGCGGAAAGACATAATTACCCCATAATATTAAAATAAAAGTGTCGAAATTTGTCGCTCGCAAAGTCCCATTCTTCGCTTTTCGCCTGTCAATGTAAACAAACCATGTAACTCAGACGATGACGCTCAAAAAAGTAGTGCGTGTGTTACTATCTATCGTTTGATAGACATTAACGCGTAATTTCGAGTTGATTTTCGACACTTGCTCTTCAAACGATATTAATTACCATTATATTAATTCATTTAACTAATTCCTACAATCTAATCACATTTTACGCTCTTCAAAATTTGGTATGACGTCATTTTATAGCGCATTATATCTTCAAATATCCCTAAAAACGGTTATTTTTGTGGGAAAGTTTGGCTCTTCTTTGCGATAAATGGGTTTTCTTTACAGTTATACAATGAGAGCTTGTGTGGGAGACATATGTATGCCCTCGCCCCCTAAAACCCCCGATTCCCCACGTGTCCCCCAAGATCGTAGGGGATAGGGGGAAATATAGGAAAAAAACGAACATTCCATCTCCTCTAGAAATACCATACTTACCATAGTAGTTTACTCAATCAAAGTATCGCCATTATCATCACCATCACTATGATATACTTAATCCTCCTCCTCCCTCTCTTCTCTCTCCTCCAGCTGCGCCCAACCAAGGATCTTCCTCGTCGTCTACTGCATCCTGAACATCCTCGGAGGCGCAGAAGTGACCTTTTTCATGGGCAGCACGACGTCCTTTGAGAAACACTTCCATTTCTCCAGCAAAGATGTTGGTTACATCATTCTCTTCAGCGAATTTGGTAGGTCAATTGTATGTCTGTATGTATATTTTGATGATTTATTAAGTGACGAGGTTATATGGATTTGTCTATGGTTTGTAGCAGAATTTATTTAGTTTGTGTATACGGAGACTTTGTCAGCGTTTCTAGATGTGAATGTAAATGTATCTGTAACTATTTTTTGTGTTTTAAGCATGTGTGTATAGACATGTTTTTTATGTATGATAATATGTTTACCTTGGAATTTAAACGTTTATGTAGGTATGCAATTACTGTAGATAAGCTATTATCATACCCCTCTAAAGAAACCTTATTTCCCCCTCCCCATTCTCCCCCACCCCCACTTTCAAACAACCCCTACGTTTCCCCCTTTCCCTTCCCCTCCCCCTCTCTTTTTCTCTCCCTCTCCCTCTCCTCTCTCCTTTTCTCTCCCCCCCCTTCTCCCCCCAGGGCCCATCATCCTGTCGATGGTGCTGAGCTTCCTCGGAGGGCGCGGGAACCGACCTCGCTGGCTGGCCTTCGGAGGGTTCCTGGCGGGCGTGGGCACCTTGGCCATCTTCTCCGCCGTCCTCTTCTACCCGCCGCCCACGCTCTCGGGTGAGGCGGCGAAATTTGGGCGTTGGGGATTTGCTGTTGAGTTTTAGATTTCTGCATGATGATGATAAGGG